TAGATATCACATCGAAGCAGTGGAAGCGGGCAAGGCTTTTCTGAAAGCTTGTCGCGACCCAGCAAGGGTCGTGGCAAACCAGATCGATACACAGCGAATGCGGCAGGTGTCTGAAAACCGCGCGCGGCTTGTCTCGATTGTCGACAACGTTGTGTTCTTGGCCCGGCAGAATATTGCCTTCCGTGGACATCGGGATGACGGCCCAGTGGTCACTGGGAAGAACGGCAATGACAGTTCAGAGAATGGAGGAAACTTCAAGGAGCTGCTGCGCTTCAGAGTGAAATGTGGTGACCATGCCCTCGAAAAACATCTCTCCACAGCCACAGGAAGGAAGATGTTCACAAGCAAAACAACTCAAAATGCCCTTATTGAATGTTGCGGAGACGAAGTTCTGTCCGTGATCTTGGCACGAGTTCGGCAGAGCAAATATTATGGCATTATGTTCGACGAGACAACCGACGTGGCTCACAAGTCTCAGCTATCTCTTGTTTTGAGGTATGAACATGATTTAAAGATCAGAGAAGATTTTGTGGGTTTCTTAGATCCTCGAGAACTCAAGCCTCAAGATTCAAATCAGAATCGGAATTCGTCCATGTCGGACAGCGGGTCCGACGAGGAAGAGCAAGACGAAGACGACGCACTGGAGCCAACACTGACTGGTACCAAGCTCGGAAAAATCGTGCTAAGTCTACTGAGGTCATTGTCTCTCAACCCCAAAGGCTGTGTAGGCATTGCAACAGACGGATGCTCAGTAATGACTTCCGAGCTCTGCGGTGCCATTCAGGAAATCCAAAAAGTAGCCGTGCATGCAGTTCGATGCCCCTGCTTCAACCACAGCTTGAACCTTTCTATATCCAAAACATCAACTGTGCAAAGTGTCCGAAACACCACCGGGACAATGCGGGAAGTCATTGCGTTTTTTACGGCCTCGCCCAAGCGTAACGCCGTTTTGAAACTCCAGCTTGGCAAACAGCTGACCAAGTTATGCGACACACGTTGGGTCGAACGTCACGACGCTGTTTTGCAGTTTAGAGAGAGCCTGGGAAGCATCGCAAAGGCGTTGGAAACGGTTTCGCAATGGCGAGAACCAAGCTCGGCTGCCAAGGCAAGATCACTGCTTATCTCAATCCTGGATGCCGAATTTGTAATTGCAACCGTAGCTCTCTACGATGTACTCTCAGTCACGCTTCCCCTAAGTCGGCTGCTCCAAAAGCCGGATCTGGAAATGAACAGTGCCTCGGACATCGTAAAAGACACGATCGTCGTCCTGAGCGAAAAGCGGAACCCATTAAACGTCGAGAAGACTTTCAGAGAAATTTTCGCGCATGCAGAAGAAATTGCCGAGAATATGGGAGCGCAACTAGATGTGCCTCGTCTAGTCCAACGACAAATGAGCTGCGAAAAATTGCCTCCACAGACAGCCGAGTCATACTTCCGCGCACATGTATACATTCCTCTTGTGGAATCTGTCGTGGAAGATCTTAAGCAGCGTTTTCCGGAAGAGGTGCTGGAGGTGTACAGCCTCAACACACTTTTGCCTCGCCATGTGAATGAGAAGGGAGCTGAAGCAAAGCTCAGCATCCTGGCGGCAAAATACGGCGTGCTCCTCGGAATGGGGGACGTAGCTTTGCAGACCATCATCAGAGCCGAATTTTCACTGTGGGCGGCGAAATGGAGACGCGAACAAGAGAAGGGGCCTCTTCCATCGACAGCTGTGGAGACACTTGAAGAGTCGGAGCCAGAGCTCTATCCGAACATCAGGACTCTGCTGCGCGTTCTCGCTACACTGCCCGTTAGTGTTGCGACGGCTGAGCGGTCTTTCTCCACCCTTCGTCGAATTAAAACTTGGATTCGATCGCGGTGCGGCGAAAAGAGACTCAACGGTCTTGCCCTCCTCCACGTCCACCGAGACGTGAACGTCGACCAAGAGAAGGTGGTAGACCGCTACGCGCAGGGAGCACGACGAAGGAAGGCGATGTTCGTGCTCTGAAGAACATTTAATTTGATAACTTGTGTAAATAATTATGTCTCTATTTTATCCTCCCCAAATGTAGGTTTTTTTTTTTTTCTTCATCTCATTAGATAAACATGAATCTGTTTAATAAATAAGTTTAATGTTGCTCCATGCAATTTGTCTAGGCACTGCGCTGAAGACCATTTGAGCTGGCATTTTTGTTTTTTTATTGGTTTCACGGATCCACAAGACCATAAAGAATCGAACAGAGTTTAATTACTCCAACAAAATGCTCACTTTTCTCAAGAACTCTGCATTTTCGAGAGTGAGTCAATAAAATAACAATGCAATTAAGAAGGTATTTTGATCACGTTCGTCCAGGATTTAGAAAGTCTCCATATTATTCGGCCGTCTTACATTTGTCTTGCTAACAAATCCTTTCCTCTCCAGTCTTTGTGGTGTTTTTTTTTTTTTTTTTTTTTTTTGTCTAAATTGATGTATCTTGTTTGATCGAGTCCCTGCACAAACTCTTTCACACCGGGTGCCTCAATTGCCCGTGTTGCTTAAATGGTTTAGACAAAGAATTTAGAACCATGCATACGTATGTCTTTCTCTATCTCTATTTTTGTTTTTTACCACTTATAGTGCTAACCTTTGAACCACTGAAGCAACAGGTGCGGGTTTATATAAAAGAACAAGAAACTAATACAAATTTGGTGGGAATTTTTAGGCTGTAACAAACGCTAAAACACGATTAATAGTTGCTTTTTGTAGGTGCCTCAAAAATCGCTAGCCCGCGAGCAAAAAAAAAAAAAAAATCCTCACCGCCCCCCCCAAACCTTAGCCATAAATCCGCCCCTGACGCACACACACACAAAAATAAAAAAAAAAAATAAAAAAATACTGCTTAGGGTACCTTCTCGCAGCCCGTAGGAGAACCAGAACCGAAAAATGCCTAAAGCGGATGCAAAATATAACAAAGGCAGTTGAAATATTTTCCCATTTCCCCTACGTGGCCTTTGTGACAAGCAATGTTTCGAGTTGAGAAGTGGTCGGGGCGATCTCTTTCGCTAATGAATACTGCACATGATCCGTTTCAAATCCTGGAGCTGCTGCACTTTTGTAGAACATGCGAGCTCATCCACATGTGAATAATAAAATGAGCGACGCAAAAAAAGCCCCCCCCCCCCCCCCCCCCCACACACACACACACTGGCGAACGCCCAAATCGTTAACTTCTTCAAACGAATTCTATGCTTGTGTCTGCATTGTGAAAGGTGCAACGATCACGACGAGGGAGCCAGTTTTTCTTCTTCAATACTTGTGCTAATGTGAAATATAGGTTGGAAGTAATTCTTTGTTATGAGCGCTAAAGATGTGTCTTCACACAATAAAGTAATCGGAAAAGTGACGATTACTTCTTTAAGTAATGTCCAATTACTTTTGCCGTAGAGTAATCAAGTAATCTAATCGAATACCTTTTAGCCAAGAGTAATAGTAATTGTAATCGATTACTTTTTTTAGTAACGTGTACAAGACTACATCCGCCTAGACTTCGTGTGAACCTCTTGCCTTAGCCCCTTCATCGCGATGGTGCATTGCCGAGTTTTGCGTGAAATGCGCTACGTTGGCAGAATACGTGCCGAACTCGTCGTCGCCACCGGACCAACCAAGTCATGCATGGTCGCTTGCATGCTTGCATCGCGGTCATCGGGATCTCTGCGGTCTCGCTAGGTAGTCGCTTGCCTCGTTGCCCGTTGGTTCTGCCCACGAAGTTGATCGAGTTGTGTGAAAATTCCTTGTCCAGTACGTCTGTATTCCTGGCGTACCGTCCATGCCGTCGGTTAAAGCCGGAAAGGCATGACAGTTGGTAAAGCAAATCCCTTCAACCACCTCTAGTTCGTACATCCGCCGCCAGGCGGCGTCTTTATGTGAAAAAGGTCCATTAAGGAACGATCGACGGCACAGCCTGATAGTTAAAACCAATAATACGGGTGGCGCTCGAGTTGGCGATGTTGTTTACCATCCTCGAAAACACGCATACAAGCACACTCCAAATGTTGCTCGTTCATCTACTTTCCCGCGGTGCTCTTGGAGAAACAACTGCCATCTATAAAAAAAATGTGGCACAAAAAAAAAAATATATATATATTTGAGCGATGTTTGTACAGTCTCCGGCGATATGAAAGACCCATTGGGAGCGCGTGGCCGAGGCGGTGGCTGGCGGGGGCGCTGCGAGCGCTCCGGGCAATTCCATTCTGCTTCGAGGGGAGGACGCTCACTCAAGCTCAGCACAAACTGATAGGAGCGCGCTTTAGCTGAGCCCCGAGTGAGCGTCCTCCCCTTGAAGCAGAATGGAACTGCCCGGAGCGCTCGCAGCGCCCCCGCCAACCACCACCTCGGTCACGCGCTCCCAGTGGGTCTTTCATATTGCCGGAGACTGTACATCACCATGACGTTTCGCATGTTACCTTCATGCTCGTGTGTCACATTTCAGGTTTCATTTGTAAGCAGATACGGGTTTCCGTCTTCGCAATTCTCCCATACTTGTGTTCACATTAAGAACCGTAGTCAGAAAGTTCTGCATCTCGCGGCGTATTGTTAATTTTTTTTTCTTTATGCGGAGAATAAAGATATTTGTGAATGTATTTCAGATTAGCTATAAAGCCATCTTCTCAAGGCGTTTCGAAACGTCAAAAGCATCGTTTCATTCTCCGACAAGCAAATCGAACTACTTAGCGTGACATATGAACAACGTGCAAGACTTGTTCTTTTTTTTTTTTTTTTTTTTGAGGGGACAACGAGTATAGAGCACACTGGTTCGTTCCCCAAATGCTTTGCGCTAAAGTAGATGATGGTGCATTTATAGTGTCCTTGCCTGCTTCCGCGTGCATGCATTGTGCCTTTGGCGATGTAGTTTCGAGGCTTACGCACTCCCTCTCGTGGTCCAACTTTCACCGGGAACAAACATATGATTTTGGACAGTGATTCATTTCGTCCCACGAAAGTGAAGAGATCGAATACGTGGGGCTTTGTGTGTGTGCAGGTGAAAACGTTCGGCAGCTGTTCTTCCGAGTGTCCGCGTTGAGCTTCGTCAAGTGCCTCACCAGGGAACTTCAAGAGAAGGTCACCGAAGGGCCGGTCAGCGGGGAGTTCGTGCGTGAGTAGAGCCGCCTCAGCAGGGCCTTAAACCCCTTCGTGGTTTACACAGAGGCAAAGAAATCGATGCAACAAGGTTCGCGCTTCTCTATGATTCCAGGAAGTGTGAGGGCATTTCCTCGCTATACTTCGAGACATAGCTTCGCCTGGTATCGTCAGTTGAAAGTAGCCGTGCGTTTCTTGAAGTTTACAAATACAGTGGCCTTCATTGGGTATCAGTTGAGAAAAGTCATTTTTTAGTATACTTTATTTACATTCGCTGGAGAGGTATGGTATGCCGGAAGTTGGTTTGAAGAATTTAACGATTCATTGACGTTGACATTTGCGCGCACAAATCGGACAGCCGTGATCTGGGCTGCATACCGTTTTCAGACTCCGAATAGTTTGAATTCCCCTATTTGTGGCTACATGGGACCATAGTATATCGATAAATGCATCATCGTGTCTATAGTTTTTTTTTTCAGCGCCGATGATATAAGGAGGCGTTGATTACGAGTTTCTGCGAACAATTACGTGCATCATGTGAAACATAATTTACAATATTTTTTTTTTCCAAACACGATCTGGGCTAGAGTCTGCGTAAACTAGCTTAAACTAGGTACTCTTACGTAACCTATACCTATTTTATTCTGAGCTTACCGTCATTTGTCTCCTTTCTCCATCTGCTTTCAGGACTGCGCAAACGCAAGCACGGCAAGAAACTTAAGGCCCCCAAGTGTTCCGGCAAGCAATCGTGTTCCAAGTGACTGCTCAAGTCGCTGCAACATCGTTCGAACACATCTCGTGGCAGTGGACAATACTTGCGGGATATGAGTGTAGGCGCGAGCTGCACCTTTGTTTCACGCTAAGATGGACCGTAGCGAAGTCTACCGGCCAACCACGAGCTGCGAATGCTCTGTTGTCCTATTGTTAGTCGGCCTCAATAGACCGATTCCACCAAGCGTTTGGCGCATGCGTGACGCCGCCATAGCTTTGGTACACAGGGGGCAGGCCATAGGTACCATAGGAGACAGCAAGTTCGTTTCACGTGCTTAAGGACTAAAGTTCCCTCTATGCAGTATGGCAGCGGTAACGTAGCCAGGCTGGCAAATGAGATCGGTCTATTGACTAATCGACTGCCGAGAAAACGGCATGTGACTTCGATCTTCAGTCGCCAAGCAGGTATTGGCAAACGAGACTCGGCTCTTCAAGTTTGTATTCGCGGTGAGAAGCTACGCTTCTGTTTTCCTCACTGTGGGTAGTGCACGTCCTACCCACGCAGTTACGTTTTAATTTTCCTAGCGCATAAAAGCTTGGCGTTGGACATGCTTGCACCACCAGAGGAAGTTGATGTATCCTCACTCTGGGTTGTCAAAACAATTCCACCAGGCGGCGATATTCAACCTTCCCGCCGCGAATACAGCGCTTGACGTCGTCGTACCATGCTGTTAGTCAATCGTAATTGTTCTTGCCGAGATAAACAATTTGAGTGGTTCAAAATGTGTGCTGCAAAGCGTGTGTGCCCAGTTGCAAGGCCACCACCGTGGCAGTTGATGTCACTTCAGAGCAGTCTATGTGCATGCGTTCGTCGCTTCGTTGCGTTCCATCTTAGTGTGAAATGGTCATCGGTGCGATTGGGCTTCCATGGAGGCGTGAGTCTGCTGGCAGAACACGCCATCGAGATGGCATTGGCGCGAGTCTGCGAACGAGGCCACCAGGATCTACGTCGGACTGCGGCCTGGAACGCTGCCTAGAACACGTCTCCGACTGGTGCACTCATCCAATACAACTTAAAAGACAAGGCGTGCGCATTACGTCATCGCGTGGATACTCGACCCGCCGTAAGCGGCAAAGGTGCGGAAACTCGACAAGAATACGCCGTGGATTCACTAGTGATGACGCTAGAGGAGGAAAAGGCCTTGTCTTCTAGTCTTAGCGTACCCGAAACGCCAACAAAATGCGTCACACAATCGGACGAGTAGTGCTACAGGTTGTCGCGATCCTGGCGGTTGGTTGCAGAAACGCCGGCGCTGCTGGAATTTCCGTGGTCTGGCCGGCTGCAGACTGAGCTGCGGCAGGCCGGCAGGCGTCTGTCGTATACACCTCCGGTGTTGTGCCACCGCCAGGGTCACGACAAACCCTGCAGTATTGAACAGTTGTGGCGTCCCCTGGCGGGAGTCGTGGGATACTATGGAGTCACTGAGTGTTCCCAGAGTACCGAAACTGCCAAGCTTCGTTTCAGAACCGAGTGGCGGCGCATGCAGTCGCGATCCCCAATATGGCGCCGCCCTGTGCTCTCGAAGCGAAGCGCGTACAGTAGCTTCGTTCGATTTGCCGGCACCGGTGCAGCAAAGTGTAGGGCAGTGTACTTCCGGTATGTGCATTGAGGTACGACCGGAAGTACACCGCCCAACACTTTTCTGCACCAATGCAGAAGGTGTAGCTAAATCGAACTAACCCAGTGTACCGTTCGTTCTCCTGTGAACTCTTCAGTCCGCGTTCCCAGCCTCTGGCGACACTGGTTTGTCTACGAGGAAACAGCTTGAACACTGAACACTTACACACATTCAGGACAGGACATGCACAGAGAGATGCACCTTCTAGCTCAACTCGAACCGCTTAGACATTGGTTTGTTTTAGAGCTCAGCTCTTAGGCGCCCGTTTGCGGGTTGAGCGGCGTCGGCGTAACCGCGCGGGTTGCATGATGGGACGTTTCCCCGCTAAAGTTAGCGGGGACATTTCCCCGCTATATTTAGCGGAGAAATTGACGTTACGCGGTCTCAACACTAATTCAGTTTCCCAGCTAATTTAGCAGGGAAAATGACGTCACGACTTCCTCTCACGTCACCCATGATAATATTCAGCGGCAGGAGGAGAGGAGAAGGAAAGGAGGGAGGAGGGGAGGGTTTGGAGGAAGAGGACGGGCATACCCTCCCTTTCGTACCCTCCCCTCTCCCTCCTCAGGAAGTGCGCTCTAGTTCCGCATTACAGAGAACTGTAAACGTCATTAATTTTTTTAACAGATTTTTTTTTTTTTCGTTTTGCGCGGTGCGTGACTTGTTCCTCGGTGTCTCGTCGTCTGTCTCTCTCTCTCTCTCTCCTCGAAACAGATCGAAGCTGAGTGTTAGGCTTAGCGGTCGAGGCGTAGAGATAAAAAAGCAGTGCAAGCGCAACCGGAGCGGGCGAACAAGCCGCTAATCTTCTTTGGCTAACCATTTTAGTGGCTACTTGAAATACTAAACAAAACAAAAACCAAAGAAGCTCCACGCATGTTCCGTTCGGTCCTAACTCATCGATTCCCAGAGCTCCCACCCGTCCGTACCCGCACTCGCGGGGTAGCGTGAAAAAGGTTTATGTGTTTTTTTATGTTTTAGGAACGATCCACAAAATGGCCGACTGATAACTTCCGCCAAGGGTTAAACCAGACAATCGGAACTGAATTCTGCGTAATTGAGTTCCGGTAAGCGGACTGAATGGAATTCGGTACTTTGGGAATATTCAGTGACTCTAGGGGGTATAAAACGAAAACGCAGTAGGCACACAGGAGACGCGTTCCAGGCACCATACAGTGCAGGGTCGGAGGAAACAGACGACATATTTCTGCTGTATCGCAGGTCGCTGCTTCACCGGGAACAAAGTTTTCAATTAGCATTTTCGTTTTTTTCCCTTCTAGAGAACACTACGTAGCGTGGTGCTTGCTTTTGTCTAGTCATATAGACGCTTTACACACGCGCCAGATTGAGCCGCCATAGCCGCCCTTCTCTTGTCTTACCGAGATGCCGAGCCACTGAAGCGGGCGTTGACGGGTCTTCACAAGGGCCTATGCTGGGTACAAGAACACAGTAGCATCTAAAATGGCAACAACCTGTCCTGCTGTGGTAATGATGAAGTGAAGCGAACGGAATAAGAGGGAACAAAAACTGAAGGGCAGTTATGGCGGCGCACATGCACAGCTGCTGTAAAGCGTCTATATTTTTGTGCGGAGATGAACACCCTCTGCATAGTTGTGGCATGTATTCCAAAGATGTATGCGCTACAATGCAGTTGTAGTACGTTGTGTTGTAGGTAAAATAAGCGCGAAGTAAGGATATATTGCAATACGACGACACCGGAAAAGGAACGCAATAAAAGAACTGGTGCTTTCCGAGCGTGTTGATGTGTGTTGGAAGGAGGGTAACATGGAAGGAGAAAACAAGAGCATTCCCTATTCAAAAGCAGAGCTATTTCCTATAAATATTTCCAGTCCAGTGGCTTAGGAACAGCGGGTTGGGAACAGGTGGTACAGGGGGAAGGTGATTCATCCCCCCCCAAGACAGTTTAAAACATAGAGACAGTACAGGGTGTATCAGCATAGCCTCCTCTACACTCACAAACCCTGGCAGTTCGACGACGGAGCCACGGAGCGCCCGGCCGCAGATTTAGAACGCGGGGATCTGGTGACCCAGAGCATTTCTTGGGGAACCTGGTTGTCAACGCACAGCTTTTGCCGCGGCGAGGACCCGATACATGGTTTTCGAACCCGGCGAGAAAAGAAGCGGTATCGAGAGTAACGCGAGAAGCACGAGCGGACATTCGATCGCTCGGGACAAGTGTGTTTCGGCGTCTCGCCGCAGCGGGGCGCCCGACACCTGGCTCTCCCTGGGCTCTCCTAGGCTATGATTAAGATGCAATTAATGCAAAGGTGCTAGCGAGCTGGACGAGAATGGCAATAATAATCCCTGCAGTAGGGGAACAAAGGGGACAAAGGAAAAACACAAATCTCCAAACACAGATAGAGGCAACTGTTGCGCGACCGAAATAAATCCGCCTGGTCCGGGTATGTAACCTGAGACCTCTCCATTTCCAGGTCCCGGACAGGCGGTTTTTTCGGTCGCGCACCAGTCACCTATACCTGTGTTTGGAGATTTGTGTTTGTCCTCTGTCCCCGTTGTTCCCCTTCTCCAGGGAATATTATTGCCATTTTCATAGACTCTCCTCTCAACCGTTGTCTGCCGCTCTACCTTTTCAATTTCGGCGGCCGCGTCTCGTGGCGATCTGCCAGGCCTTGGCAGTATTAGCGACGTGAGCGATCGAAAGCGTCGCTGTGGTCGGCACTCCACGATTGGCCGAATGCTGATTATGACGTCAGCAAAGGATGTCTCATCGACGGAAATAAGAGGAATGTAAGAACTTCAATTTTGACGGTGTTGGTAGTGTTCCTTTGGGAGTGCTATGATTTCAGGCTTCCAGCATGCCCATTACAAACACCATCGAACTTGTTGTTCACAAGGTAATGACGTCACGAAAGGTAACCATACGAGGGCGCCACCGAAACATCTCGCCGCTAATAGAGGAGGATATGGTATCAGCCTTCGCTACGCGTCGCCGAGCGTGCGCGTGCGTGGCCGAACGGTTACCGCGTGCTTGGATTTCGCGCGGCGGCTTCAGGTTCGATTCCTGGGAGCGGCTGCTTCTTTTATGCATTCTTTCAATTTAGCGTTATCATGAGTTCGAGAACCTGGTCGTCTGATCGAGGTACGAATGTTCTTCGCCGAATGTTCCAGAAACTCACGCGGGTACAGAAGGTTCTTTGCGTGGCCGTCCGAGGCCACTCGCCCCAGCGCTCGATCCTGCTGTTTCGCCGACATCGACGCCTGCAACGCCAAGCTTCTTTTATTTTGTTTTGGGCACAAGTTCGCCCCATTAAACGTTTAGTTTCTCCAGTTGTTAGCCGCCTTATCATTTGAAATTCGTGACAATATCAAATTTAGTTCCCATCATGTGCATTGACGTTTCTCCCAACGCACATTGTATTTCTCATGTTACGAATAAATGTTGCATAGTATATATAGCATAAGTTTTGTCGACTAAATTTTGTATTCAGCAAATTGGGCATACAGTTGTTGAACTCTGACTCAGCGCGAACACCTGAGCACGGAAAGGACTATATCCGAATGACCGGCGAAGACTATACATTTCCATGCATTATAGACAAAGCAGCAATTGCTCATGTCAGTCGGAGTTTGTCCGATCATAACCCTACACTTTATACTAAATCGCCGTCACTCCTAAACATAAATCCCTCGTTTTTTTTGTTTTTTTTTTTTGCGAAATCAAGTGAAAAGTGGTGCCGTCAGCCTCACTCTGAAAACGATGGGAAAGGCTCCCAATTGATGTTTTCGAGATGGCGGTCGGCACTTTCATTGCAGTCGACGCGAGAAAGAAACTGGACGACGAAAATAGGGTGAGAGGCTGCCGTCAGATGAAGAAACGGAACCTCTTGCGGTAGTGGGACAGCCCCGCGACCCGCTGAAGCTCGGAGACCGTCGCTCCGGTGACCACGAGCGCCGCAGCCGCGTAGCTTATTGCTGCCACCGGCTCGTCGAGGAAGGCCTTGTTAAAGGCGAACGCGATGATCACGTCGAACGAGTTCTTGTACATGTTGGCTAGGCCACCGTCATCGGCCTCGCGGCCCTTGGACACGAAGTAGACATAAGCGAAGCCCATGTGACTCGTCAGCGACATGGTGCCCATGTCGGCCTCGGTGAACAGCTTCTCAGGCCGCTCCATCAGGTACGCGGCGAGCAGAGTCGACAGGAGCAGCAGGGCGAAGCTGGTGTGCAGCAGGAGCACGCTGAGCGGCATGCCCGCCGTGGCCGGGCTGAGCAGCTGCTGAGTAGAGTGCAAGGCCGTGGACACGACCGCCCATCGGAGTCCCTCCGGGCGGCCTTCGGACATGTCGCTGAAGGCGAGCAGGCCGAGGGCCGTGGCCGTCAGCAGCAGGGACACGGCCAGCATGCAGGACCGCGGTGTACGGCGCTGGGCGAGCTCCGGCAGCCGGGTCAGCACCAGGCTGGTGCTCGTCACCACGGCCGAGTCGACGAGGGACAGGTGCCACAGGGACGCGAACCTGGGCGCACGCAACCGGCCAGTCGTTAGAAACCTCCTGGGTGCCTCATGGGTCGAAGTCTTTCTGGTGGTCAATGAGCGGCGCGCGCATACGTCACCGCCTGCTTTCGATCCCGGTGCTTTCATTTCAATCACTTATACTGCACTGTGAACTTTTAGCCATGGGCCTGTGGCATGTGCGAACTGTGCTAATACCCTCGAAAGGATGCTTGCTGGGTTGGCTTCGTGCGGTCAGGCGATACACAGCAGGTGCCTCCGGAACGCTGCTACGCATGCTCGGTGCGAGAAGAATTGCTCTTCTAAAATAGGATCTCACCTTCGCCTCTGAGAACTTCCTGCTTATACGCACATCTGGCCCGCGATGCACTGGAAACACCTATCATTGCCACCTGCCTATGTGAAGAGCGAGCGGTGTTCCGGCCTAAATTGTCACGGCGTCTCAAGAACTGAAAGAACTCCTAGCTGTTGCCAATGAGACTGCATTGTCACTGCAGCAAGATGCCAATCGTCTTTCTTACTGGAAAAACCCAGTGATATTGGAAGTTTCGAGGGCGCGTGGTGCAGATGATACGCTAGCTGGCGTGTTCCGCCACCGTGTAGTAAACTTAAAAAGGCACGTCAGCTTTAGGAATGAGGGAACTGACACAAAGTATACAAGAACAAGGAAGGCTCCTCTGACACCTGTGTTATGTCCGTCCTTTTAGTCAGATTACCTATCCATCATAAGCCACCGATACACCTTTCCGCTTATCACCCTGATGAGAAATGCTGAGAGATGCCTGTGCGTCGTGTGATGTTTTGTCGGAGACGCCTGCTTCGCATGCAGCAGGAATGGTCTATATATAGCTTTAGATGGTTCATCCCTGAATCGGCTCACCTTGAGGCGAAGGCGCACGCGGTCATGAGGCTACGCAGGAGCAGCGAAGCCTTGCTGACATTGGTACCAGGCGGCCTGCGCATTCCCGTCATGCAGGTGAGCACGCCCACGAAGACGCCCACAGACGCGTAGAAGAGCAGCTTGACCGGGTGCTTGAAGCCGCCCTGGCGTCGACTCAGCACCGCCAGGAAGGTCCACATGGTACTACCTCCCAGAACCATCAAGGTCGCCTGCAGCCGCCCAGATCGTTATACCGCACTTTCATTGTCACACAGAGTTTTCGTAGATTGTTTCCACCACCCCGTAACGCTTACCGCACCCCGCTACGACATCACAAACTGTGCAGACAAGGCTAGCCGTGCGCATGTGCAGTATCGGCGTCCTTGTTCCGAAGAGCGTAGTGAAGGGAAGGAAACGGTCTACGAAAACTCCCTAAAGACCCCTACGCACAGTTGCACTTGAAAGCGTTTGAGTGCGTTGCGGCAGCGAGAAACAAGGACATCCCTGCCTCTTATATGTCGCGTGCCAAGCTACTTTTTGAATTGTATTCCACGCTTTATACAAGGCACACATGTGCCGGTCACTCGCTTTCGTTTCTCGACGCAACGCAGTCAAACACATCTCAAACGCTCTCAAACGCAACTGTGCGTTGGAGACTTACGGTGAACTAAAACTTTTGCATTGGTTGCGTCGTTGGTCAGATATCACTACCATGATATCAGACCAAAGACGAAGATGAAGTCAACGAACGCAACGTCAGCTTCTAACTCTTGGCCACAAGCTCCGCTCAAAACATGATAATCAGTCTTTTTTCTTCTATGCAATGTCATTGCATCATCATTAGGCGCGGCGCTGCAGGCCTTTATGATACTGGTGACTTCCCTTTCTGCGGTGCCACGGCTCACTGGAGCTTAACTGAATATTGCTAACAATATTACATCAAGG